TTTCTTATAAATAAGACCATATTGACCTCTGTTAATGGTCCTATGGTGTACAATATTGTTAGATCTTAGATCCAATTGGTTGATTTAATGACCGCATTTCATGATTGGAGTTAAGATAGTTCGGTCAGGCTGTCTGTTACTAAAAATTATCTAACCACGCTTAAAGTGATATCTATCTCCATTTAAAAGATTTTTTCAAAAAACCTTTACAGTGTTTAGATTTTTGTTTTCGTATACTTGAGTTCAACAAAACTAATTACATGCATAGAAAGAACAAAAAATTTAGAAAAATTGGTCTCATCTCGCCTACTAGTGAAATTGAAGTCTAGTATTAACCCTATCTCTGCTGGGGTACTTGAAAACCAGGATATGCTGGGGGGGGGGGTCAATTTGACCCCCCCCNAGCAATAAAGAAAGCTTTAATAGTGTACACCATAAGGCCAGTAACAGAGGTCAATATGGTCTTATTGCTAAGAAATAAATGCTTTAATGTTACGCTTATTTTGTCTGATTACAAATTGAGGTGATGGAGATTACCAATTGAGGAGCACACATGCCGCAAAATATGTTTGGGTGGCGGTGATTGCCCATTGAGGACTTCTGCACTCCCCCTTGGTTGAAACTATAGAAAACTGTTTTAAGTCTTCATTTCCTGAAAAGAAAATAATTTCTGCAAATAAGAGTAAACCATACAGTCCTTAGATGTCTGAAGCCTTCATTATCTCTAGAAAAAATAAAAACATATTTTTAAATAAAAAATTTAGTAAACCTTGACCTGGAACTAAAATGAGATTTAAATAGTACAATACAGTTTATACCCGACTAGTTGGGGTAGCAAGGAAAAAATATTATGATGAAAAGTTTAAAGAATATAGTAAAGATTGTAAAAAAAATTTGGCAAACAACAATAAATAGTGTTTTAGGAAGGGGGGGGGGGAAGTCTATAAATATCCCAAATACTCTGAACAATGGTTTAGTTCTCTCAGGGGTAGCTGAAATATCTGTAGGTTTCAATACATTTTTCTCTAGTCTAGGTCCTTAACTAGCAAAGAATATCCATAACACAACAAAAAAATTCTCTAATTATCTCTCAGAAAAAACTGGTGAAAACTTTGTTTTTGAAAATATGACCCCTAATATCATGAATGATGCTCTAAGCAAATTAAAAAAATAAGAACAGCTCCGGTCCAGATAACATTTCTATAAACCTATAAAAGTCGATAATGCTAAGTATCATGGGTCCTATTTGCCATTTTTTTGATATGTTGTTTAAAACTGGTTATATTCCAACCATCCTTAAACTGTAAAAATTGTTCCAGTCTTCAAGACTTGTGAAATACAAATTACAGACCAATTAGTTTACTTTCATATTTTTCAAAACTTTTAGAAAAAGTAGCTGAAAATCAAATCATGAAATGTCTAAATAAGTTTAAACTTCTCTATGAGCACCAGTATAGGTTTAGGGGTAAGCATAACACTACCCAGCCTTTAATCCATTTTCTATATAAAATACTTTAGGAATTTTAATTGATTTAATTAAAGCTTTTGACACCTGTGATATAGATATAATACTCAAAAAGTTAGATCATCATGGGTTCACAGGGATATCCAATCGGTGGTTTGAAAATTTTTTAAAGGAAAAGAAAACAGATTACTTCAATCAAGGGTGTAAATTTCCCTCTTGAAGAAATTCTTTGTGGAATTCCTCAGGGGTCAATATTAGGCCCAATTTTATTCTTAATTCTCATAATTGACCTTCCAAATGCATCAAACAATTTTTTGCTGTTGACACAACCTTACAATATGATTTTTAGAGCTTTCAAAAATTGCAGACTGGTTCACAGCAAATAAAATAACATTACATGCCTTTAAAACAAAGTATACACTTTTCAGAAAGAAAACAAAAGTTCTGGTAGGTGACTTGCTTAAACTTTTCATTGAAAATAATGAAATAGATAGAATAGGTGTTGGTTGCAAAAATGAATCCTTTGTTGGAATACATCTTGATGAAAACCTAACCTGGAATCACCATATTAAAGCTGTCAAAAACAAAGCATCTAATTCAGTGTTTGCATTATCAAATGTAAGAAATATACTTCCAAGTAACATTAAGCATACTATTTATAACTCATTATTTTGCTCATTTGAAGAATATGCAATTTCAGAAATAAAAGTCCTGAAATGAAAAAATTAGCTCCAAAAATGTGCAGTTATAGATATTGATAATGCAAAAACAGCTTCACATACAGAGCCTCTTTTCTTTAAATTAAAAGTTTTGACTGAATTTAATCAAGTAACATTTATGCATAAATACATGAAATACCTTCTACCCTCCTCATTTAACAACACTTTTAAAAATCTTAGAAATTTTGAAAGATCAAATTGGCATTCTAAACACAGGCTCATTAGGATATCTTCCCTCATATGCACTTCTTAAGATATGAAATAATCTGCCACTTGATTTAAAAAGAAGTGCCTTGTTGAGCATATTTAAAAAAGGTTTATTTGAAATGTTATCTGACGCCTACATCTCAAAGTGCAATAAACCCTCTTCTTATTCTTGCAAAAAATAAATAAAGAACTTTGTGGATTTTTGTACATGCTTAATCTTATTCTGTTATACGTACTAAACTTTAAAACAGAAAAACTGTTATGCTACACCTTGGTGTCTCAACTAGTTTCTTTTATTACCTAAATTTTAATTTTGTTCTTTCTCCCACTTTTATATAACAAAATTTGACGAATGATTCTACTAAGGTGTATTTGAGTCCGGTGCTCCAACAAATTTTGTTAGATGAAAATTTGAGATTTCTTAGAGTGCAGTTTAATTTCTGCAATTATGTTTCTCTATAATATTAGCACACCAGTTTCAGCACTGATATAGGACACACACTACAGTAAAGGGAATTGCCTGTTTTGATAAAATAATTAATCAAAACATTATTGTAATAAAAATATGGATAAAATAAGCGTTAAAGTAATAAAATAACTCACTACATTTTTTTATTAAGCTAGCATTGAAAAGTTTGACTAGGTAAATATGTCACACTACTATCTTATCTCTACTACAAGGGCAAAATCAGGGAGGAGAGGTGAACATTTTCTACTTATTTTTGTGAAAACTTGCTTTTGAAAACATTGTTAAAATATTTTATTCCCCAAAAAGTAATTTTTTATCCTATCAATATTTAACAACTTTTAAAGTCTGTTTTTTTCACATTTCCATTTTTAAATAGGTGTGCACAGCATCTGCTACACATTTGATTTTAAATGGTTTGATTATCAAAGTTAGGTTCTCCTTATAAGTTCTCCTTCAGGTTCTCCAAAAAACTTTACACTTTTAAAAACAATATTAAGATTGGGCATGATTTAGTTTGTCAAAAAAAAAAACAATTAAAAAAATATTTTTCCAGACAACATTAATGTCGCATTGGGGATTAGTGGGTTAGGTAACATTTAAAGTTTTTAACCCTATCCCGATTGGGATTTTTTTGTCAATTATGGATGGGGGGGGGGAGAATGTTTTCAACCCCCCTGCTATGATTTTGCCCTTAGAGTTGAGACAGGGGAGTGTGATACATGTGACAAGTCTTCAGGACATGCGAATCTGATGATTTACAAATTACAGACCAATTAGTTTACATATTTTTCAAAACTTTTAGAAATAGTAGCTGAAAATCAAATCATGAAATATCTAAATAAGTTTAGACTTCTCTATGAGCACCAGTATAGGTTTAGGGGTAAGCATAACACTACCCAGCCTTTAATCCATTTTCTATATAAAATACTTAAGGAATTTTAATTAATTTAACTAAAGCTTTTAAAACCTATAGATATGATTCTCAAAAAGTTAGATCATTATGGGTTCAGAGGGATATCCAATCGGTGGTTTGAAAATTTTTTAAAGGAAAAGAAAACAGATTACTTTAATCAAGGGTGTAAATTCCTCTCTTGAAGAAATTCTTTTTGGAATTCCTCAGGGGTCAATATTAGGCCCAATTTTATTCTTAATTCTCATAATTGACCTTCCAAATGCATCAAACAACTTTTTGCTGTTAACACAACCTTACAATATGATTTTTAGAGCTTTCAAAAATTGCAGACTGGTTCACAGCAAATAAAAAGACATTACATGCCTCTAAAACAAAGTATACACTTTTCAGAAAGAAAACAAAAGTTCTGGTAGATGACTTGCTTAAACTTTTCATCGAAAATAATGAAATAGATAGATAAGGTGTTGGTTTTAAAAATAAATCCTTTGTTGGAATACATCTTGATGAAAACCTAACCTGGAATCGCCATATTAAAGCTGTCAAAAACAAAGCATCTAGGTCAGTGTTTGCATTATCAAATGTAAGAAATATATTTCCAAGTAACATTAGGCATACTATTTATAACTCATTATTTCGCTTTTGACTGAATTTAATCAAGTAACATTTATGCAGAAATACATGAAATACCTTCCACCCTCCTCATTTAACAACAAAATCTTAAAAATTTTGAAAGATCAAATTGGCATTCTAAACACAGGCTCATTAGAATATCTTCCCTCATATGCACTTCCTAAGATATGAAATAATCTGCCACTTGATTTAAAAAGAAGTGCCTTGTTAGGCATATTTAAAAAAGGTTTATTTGAAATGTTATCTGACGCCTACATCTCAAAGTACAATAAACCCTCTTCTTATTCTTGCAAAAAAATAAATATTATACTTTGTAGATTTTTGTACATGCTTAATCTTATTCTGTTATACGTACTAAACTTTAAAACTGAAAAACTGTTATGCTACACCTTGGTGTCTCAACTAGCTTCTTTTATTACCTAAATTTTAATTTTGTTCTTTCTCCCACTTTTCCAAAGCATCTTCTTTTTGTTATTTTCATTTTTATACATTTTTTAATCAAAATTTTTTTTGCAAATTGATTTTCTGTTAAGCCATTGAATTTTGGCGTGGAAGGGGGGTCTAGGGGTTGATGGTGAAGTACGAGATTCTGTTAAGCAATTGAATTCTGGCGTGGAGGGGGGTCTAGGGGTTGATGGTGAAGTACGAGATTCTGTTAAGCAATTGAATTNAAGAAGGTATTATACCCTAGCTACAGATAATCCTGATATAAAGAAGGTATTATACCCTGGCTACAGATAATCCAGATCTCAAGAAGGTATTATACCCTGATTACAGATAATCCAGATCACATGAAGGTATTATACCCCAGCTACAGATAATCCTGATCTCCAGAAAGTATATTATACCCCAGCTACAGATAATCCTGATATAAAGAAGGTACTATACCCTGGCTACAGATAATCCTGATCTCCAGAAGGTATTATACTCTAGCTACAGATAATCCTGATATAAAGAAGGTATTATACCCCCGCTACAGATATACAGATCTCAAGAGGGTATTATACCCAACTACGGATAATTCACATCACAAGAAGGTATTATAACCCAACTACAGAAAATCCTGATCTCCAGAAGCTTTTATAACCCAGCTACAGATAATCCAGGTCTTAAGAAGGTAATATAAATATTTAAAAAAAAAGAATATTATTAATTTAAATGATAAAGTTTAAGTTTTGCTTAATGCAGTTATTAGAAAATGGAAAATGGAAACAAAGAAAAGTCTAAATCCTGATAATCACTATTTTAATTATTCATAATTTCATAAGGTTTAACAATGACTCTTACACCACTATTGATTTTTATTAGTTATTAAACTCCAACTAAATGAAAGTTTTCCAATTGGACCATTTTTTTTTTAAATGAAAAAAAATTCTCAGACAATAAGTTCTTAAATAGGAGTAAAAGTAGACAATAAAAATATAAATATATCTGGATGTATATATAAGTAAGATTAATTTGTATTCCATTGTGCGCGCCATTTAAGATCAATATACAGAAACAGGGGGACCTTTCTTATTTAAAAAACAGGTTTTAGATTTTTCTCTACTATCTACAAGAAAAAATGGTTTAAGAAGAAAATCAAAAGTGTGTCCATTAGATACTTAGATTAAGTAATCGCAATTAAGGATAACTCATTCTAAAGTTTAAACTTAAAAAATAGAAAATCCGCAATATACTTTACATAACTCTTGGGAGTAGTGAAAAAATGGATGAAGTACTCAAGAATTCTCAAGACCTCATTTTAATCTGAAAATAGAATAGAATATTAAACTAGAAATAAATGATTTTCAATCCACGAACACACTTCAGACCTTGTTGCTGGTTAAAGTGGGAGTAAGCTCTTCAGAGTTCTTCTGTGAAGGAGTCACCTTGGTGCTGCACATACTCATCTGGGCTTGTACCAGCTGCGTTTTAAAGTTCAAAAGGGAATATGCCTGACATTTTAGATGAAGCTTATGTATCTAAATTGCTGAACTAAGAGAAATGAATTTGCAGGATTATAATCCTGCACAGAGTAGTTTACTTGAGATCTGAGTTTTTGACAACTTCTTTTTCTCTGCAAAGCATCCATAGTATTTTCAAATCAGCTTGCTGTGTGCAAGAATCATAAATTTTGACTGTATCTTTCCAATATACAAAAAAATAATAACAGCATTTTTTTCCCCTATTCATTACGTGGTATATTTTGCTCATATTAAAGTGTTTAGAAAATATAATTTTTTCCTCTCTTTGTAGGACAAATAATTTGTCCTCAAACTTTAGGACAAATTATGTGTAGGACAAATTATTTGTAGGACAAATAATGTGTAGGACAAATGAATTGTACTCAAAAATTAGTGTAGGACAAAAGATTGTAGGACAAATGATTGTAGGAAAAATAATTGAAAGACAAATTCCATAGCGCCTAATTTTATATGCAAATAGGTGTAAATGTGTTGAATGATAGGGATCATAATAATGATACTTTTAAATGTTCCTTCTAATTAATTTTATATATCTAGGCTGAGCTGACAGATGCAGAAAAACACGAGAACAGACTGATATCTTGGGAGAAAGTAAGTCTAATATCTCAACTTCTATTGAAGTATACTTAACCCCCTTCCTTAACACAATTTCATCTGGCATTTTTGTTGCCCCAAAGTACCCAACCCAAATTAACCCTATCTCTGCTGGGGTACTTGAAAACCAGGATATGCTAAATCCCATGTTTGATGTCCAAATATGACAAATGATACATCATTGGAAAGCTCTGTGCTCTACTTTTATAATCTGCAAAAAAATTGCAAATTTGCAAAAATTGAATTTTTTATCGCAAAACCCAGTTATATAGTAAAAATGTTTGCAAAAAAAAATTTGTCCAAAAAATGAAAATTTATACATTTTTGAAAAGCCCTTGACCATGCCATTTTAAATATGCAAAAAAATTGCAAAATTTTAAATAACCTGATTTTTAATGAAGAAAAACTAAAAATGTGCAAATTTCCTTTGACAGGTTGTTTGTAAATAATTTGCAATTTTTTTTCGCAAAACTTGTGCAATTCCATTCCTTATGTCAAAGGCTTTCCAAAAAGCTAAATTTTATCAAAATCTGACAAGTGGAAGTGGGTCAAAACAAAGATTTAGTTTGTTACAGGCAAAAGCAGTCATTCAGGCAGTGTGCCTGAGGACTCAGGCAGTTAGTATTAAAGCCCAGTTTTAGGCCTAACGGGAGGGCTTTGGTTATGTGGGAAAAGTCAGAAAATTTCAACAGCCTCAGACCAATACTTTTTGAGTTATGTAAGAAAAACTACAGGGGGGTGGGTCAAATTTCCCCCCCCCCCCAGCAGGAATAGGGTTAAATTCTGTTTATTAAAATCTTTTCTGAGAGCTGACATTCAAAGGTTCTATGAATATTCCTTTTTTTCTAATTTAAATCGCATGCATAAATCCCAAAAATAAACATTGTTTTCTAGTAAGACACTATATCTTTTAGAATTGGATAAATCAGATTCCAAGTTCCCCAAAGGAAGATAACAAATTGTTTCGAAAGAAATCATTATTTTGAAAATTTATAAACAATAAACAATTTAAAAAGTAATACCATTTATCTATTTCTTCATAATTAATAACAAAGACTTTTTGGAGTAAAACAACAAAAATTCATTTACAATAAAAGTTTTTAACAGATATAAATGTATATTCTTATTAACAACATTTTTTTATTATCTGGCTAAGATTAACTCAATATTATAGAATTTTATTCATTGTATACTAAATAACCCTGGTCAAGGTTTCTGAATTTTGGTTGGTCGAAGAATTTTGTTAGGTAAAAGGTTGATTTGTTTAAGAAAGCTATAAAAATGTTTTAAATCCTCAACATTTTTTCTTACAATGTGCAAATGAAATGGTGGCTTGAAAAGTCTAGTACATATATTAACTTTTGTAAAATCTTGAACCTGCAGAGTGGTTATGGTAGTACTATAAAAGCGACTGAAAACATGAGAAAATCTCTGGAAACTATCACAAATCAACTCAAAAAAGATTTGGCAAAGGAAGCTATCAGATTTCTCGGTAAATTATTATTTTCACTAATAATTTCAAGTTTACGTCTGGTGGGGCAAATGTAAAAAAATATAAAGCAAATTTACATTCCGGATATATTTCAAAAACAAAATTAAGTAAATTCATATTTTAAAGACTTGAAACTTTTCAAACAAAGTGAGTTTTTGTCAAAAAGTTAAAATTTCTTTGCTACCTAATGTAAACCATTGATATTTCTTAATGTACTAAAACTGTTTGATTGTACAGAATTTACAGCTTGAAATATTAAAGGCCTACAATACCAGGTTGTTAATAAATTATAAATCAGAAATTATTAAAAAAGACTCAGTTTCTTTCACAAAAATGCCCTTTATTGAAAATATAAAAATTTTAGAAAACTTTTAAAAATCATAATTGTATAAAAATTACTTTAAGAACTTTGTTTATTGTACAGTACACTATTTTACAGTTTAGTACTCTGTACAGCACAGTTTTTTTGCACCAAAACTTGTTAGCAAATAATTAATGTAAAGCAATGATAAAATATTTTAGGATTATTTTCTACTTAAATTAATTTTTTTGATAGATTGTCCAAGTGGAGATATGACATGGATGCCACTATTTCTGAGATCAAGAACAGATGTTATTTATTCAGGTCAAGTAGGATTGATAATAATTACAAAAATGATAATTAAGTGAAAACAGATGGCCGCAATTACAAAAAAAGTTCAAAATTTTGAACTTAGAACATTTTAAATGACAATATTATTAACAATATTGCATTTCATGATGCGAATGACAATTAAGATGCTAATACATGTAATATAAAAAATCCTGTAATGAGATGAACCGAAAAATGATCATAAGGTTAAACACATTTCAATAATATTTTTGTTTGAAAACTGCAATATCTACAACACAATAAAAGTAATGATAATTAATAAAAGTTGAATTAAATATCATTAAATTTTCATAATACCTTTAAATTTCAGGGTACGATTTGATTCCTGCAAATATAGAAATGTCTAAAGCCAACTTTTCAAAAGGTAAAAATCTCATAGAAATACTGGTTACTATAAATATTCTAATGTTTAGAATCATTTAGATTGCAAACATTTCTTTCGAAATTCCGAACAGAATGTACTATGTGAGATATTCCTAACAGACTGTTCACCATTTTTAACAGAATAATATTTGTAAGTTTGAAAGTATGAACAAAATGCACTGTTATAGAAGTTGTGAGGACTGACTCTAATAACGAGGCTAAATGGTTCAGTAACTATATATTTTAAGTCTAAATATTCGAGATCAAAACGACTGATATCTTAACACATGAAAACTCAATATATTTGGTTTGGCTTGGCAAAACTCTTCAGACTTCTAGAGGTGGAAAATATCGTCTTCCACACTGTAAATATTAAAACGTAATAAAAAAAAGAATTTTTGGAAAAGCGAATCACAGAGTTTTTTTTTAATAATTTTTGTAATTTTTCAAATTTCATTTGTTGAAAAAACATATCTTTTACAAAAAACTTAATAAAAGGAAAAAATATTTTTAGTTTTCAAATAAACATAATTTTTGAATATTATATTAAAAAAATTAAATCAAGAAACAAATTTTAAAAAATGTTGCTGATGTATGTTTACAGTGTGATAGGGGTTCTTTTAATAATGGAGGAAAGATTAAAACATTCTTGCAGCCACGACCTAAACCCTCTGACCTGACCTAACTTAAATTTGGCTAAATTTGGAAGGATTTCAATGGGGTTAATTTCAGTGATTTATTCACCTCTTATTAGTCATTAAATTTTTGTTGGCCTTTTGTTTTACTTCACAAACTTACTTATACTTTTTTGTAGCCCTAGTCATATACCTTTTAAAAATGCAAGCAACATGCTTGTTTCTAGTTAAAGTTTTTAAGGCATTATTGGCAAAATACGTTAGTCAATATATGTGTAAGAGCATGAACATCTTGGTTTGCAGTAACATATGTTATAAGTTCTTACATGTAAAGAGGGGTATGCCCGAATTACCCTTCTAATAGGGATTCCACGAATTTCTACATATGAAATGCAATGAGTTCAGCGTGGTTTTGCGCACTTTGCGTAATTTTTGTGCAAAATTTTAAGCAAATTGACAAAAATTAATACATTAAGCATAGAATAAAATGAAGATTTATATAACTATTTCATACAAAAAAAATTATCAACAAAAACATATAATTAAACTAGTCTTAATTGGTTACTTTCTGTTACAAAAAGCTCAAGGTAAGGAACCAAAATTAATCAAATACAAATTGAGAGACTGAGAAACTTGGTAATATTTAAATCCTATTAAATTATATCAAGTGACCCTCCATGAATAAAGTTTGCACCCATGAGATCGTACCTCATCTTGACTATCAATGGTCAAATATGTTGTGCCGTTTAATGTGACCAATAGCAAGACATTCCAAAACCAGATTTTTCCAGAATTCAGATACCGGCTAAAAACCTTTTAATTCCAAGAAATACACACATGTGATTTTAACGAAATTGGGGAATTGCGCAAATCTTAGGCTGTGAAAATAGGGCAATTTAGCGCAAATGACTTTTGCGAATGATTGCTGAAATTGCTGTTTTTTTCGCGCAAAACTGATGCGCAACCAAAGACAAATTTTGCATTTCGTTCCGCAAAAATTGCGCAAAAGTTTTGCAAATGGAAACCCTACCTTCTAACCTTTATCTAATTAGTAATGGTAAAGATATCCTATTTTTTCTAGATTACAAAATGATTAATTCTAACAATTTACTTCATTGTTTTTGCAAGTCAATAGAAACCTGCAGTAGACGATTGGCATCTCTTGGTTTCCGGACCAGACAAAGCTTAATATGTTACCTTTTTGATTCAGACATGCAATTAAAATTGCGATTTAACTCTATCCGAATGGTCAATATTTGTTTTATATTTGATATGATGAAGGATAGAATAGAAGATAGCTTTGATCTAGTTCTCAATAGACATGTCTCAATTCATTTGGGTCTGCTAGATAGTATACAGGTTTGGTGGCAAATTTAGGGTTTCCAATGTAATAGATTATTCTCTTAAGCGTAGTTACGTGCAGTTGTGCGTAATAATTTTCATTTAGTGTAATTTCTCAGGATTATTCGTAATTGGGGAAAAATTACACCTTAATTTTGCATTATTTCTACAAAGTAATTTTTCGAAATTTTGCAATAATTACATCTATGAAATTTTGAAGTTTTAACTTTTAATTTAAATAAAACAACTAACTTACAAGGAAAATAATGTCACGCAAGTTGAATCAGAAATTTCAGCCAATACTATGTTGATTTAATTTTCAAGTTCGACAACTAAAAAGTTTAACAAAGGGCCAACAATTTATTTTTATCTAAAAAATACATAATCTATAAATTTTCAATTTACGACGACTTGTTAATATTTCAACCTAATTTCTCAAGTTTACCCTCCTCGTTTGCAAAAAAATGTCAATAAAATCGTCAAAATATGTTTGACATGGTTGTAGCGGAATATCCTTACACATATGGAAAGTATGTGTGTGATTATTTCTGAGAATTAAAATGTACTTTATTTATTTCGGAATTGTTTCGTATTATGTAATTTCGCAAAATTACGCATTAATTACGCAAAACTAGACTTTCTTTCAAAAACGTAATAAATGCGTAATTACGGGTAATGTAATTATGACTGGAAACCCTAGTGGTCATTTAGATTTATACTTTTTAAATATTTAATTAAAAAAATTTAAAACATATTTAGATGTTCCATAACATGATACAGAGCAATATATTTAAACATATTTAGATGTTCCATAACATAATACAGAGTATATTCAAATATTTAGTTTAAAATATTTAAAACATATTTAGATGTTCCATAACATAATGCAGAGCATATTCAAATATTTAGTTTAATATATTTCAACATATTTAGATGTTTTATAACATGATACAGAGCATATTCAAATATTTAGTTTAGTATATTTCAACATATTTAGATGTTTTATAACATGATACAGAGCATATTCAAATATTTAGTTCAAAATATTTCAACATATTTAGATGTTCCATAACATAATACAGAGCATATTCAAACATTTAGTTTAATATATTTTAACATATTTAGATGTTCCATAACATAATGCAGAGCATATTCAAATATTTTTTTTAATATATTTTAACATATTTAGATGTTCCATAACATGATACAGAGCATATTCAAATATTTAGTTTAACATATTTTAACATATTTAGATGTTCCATATCATAATACAGAGAGCATATTAAAATATTTAGTTTAATATATTTAAACATATTTAGATGTTCCATAACATAATGCAGAGCATATTCAAATATTTAGTTTAATATATTTTAATATATTTAGATGTTTTATAACATAATACAGAGCATATTTAAATATTTAGTTCAAAATGTTTCAACATATTTAGATGTTCCATAACATAATGCAGAGCATATTCAAATATTTAGTTTAATATATTTTAACATATTTAGATGTTCCATAACATAATGCAGAGCATATTCAAATATTTTGTTTAATATATTTTAACATATTTAGATGTTCCATAAAATAATGCAGAGCATATTCAAATATTTAGTTTGATATTTTTTAACATATTTAGATGGTCCATAACATAATGCAGAGCATATTCAAATATTTAATTTGATATATTTAAACATATTTAGATGTTCCATATCATAATACAGAGCATATTCAAATATTTAGTTTAATATATTTTAACATATTTAGATGTTCCATAACATAATGCAGAGCATATTCAAATATTTAGTTTAATATATTCTAACATATTTAGATGTTCCGTAACATGATACAGAGTATATTCAATTATTTAGTTTAAAATATTTTAACATATTTAGATGTTCTATAACATAATGCAGAGCGGATCTAAATATTTAATTACAACGACCTTTCCTGGTGTTACTATAAATGATCCCCTGAAATATTCAAACCAAGAAGTTTCAGGCAGAAGGTGAAATATTTAATTTTTCACAATTTTTAAAAAATTTTGTGATTTTTTTTTAAAAAGCAAAAAATTTGGTTTCATAAAGTAAATAGTTTTTCAGTTGGTTTTATAAAGTTTATCGTTTGTCAGCGGGATCAATATTTGTTGGAATAGGATTTTCTTAGAAAATTTGGTTGATTTCGAACTATTATTTTCTTAAACATGATCTCAACTGAAAAAAAAAACAATATTTACGAAATTTTCATATATACATACTTGTTAAGGATAATCTTTATTCAATATATATTTTGAAATAAACTATTATCTTCTTAATATTTCTAGAAATTTACTTACATCAGTTGAACAAATTCTGTCTTTTTATTCTTTCCCATCCATTTTTTTCAGTCCTAAATTCACATTCATTTTGGATAAACAAATAAACAAATTTAATAAATCAATTTTCTTTGAGTTTTTTACTTTTGATTAACTTTTATTTAAATCCAAATAAAATGCCTGATGTTTCCATTCTAACTTTTTAACTCCAACTGATCTAGCTTTCTGTGCATTTCTACCTGCGTACTTGTAGCGCACATAAACTTTCAAATCTTACAAACACATAAAACATGTGGAAATAAATCACAATATTTTAATTCACAATAAATTAAATATTTTGTCATTTGGTTCAGTAAAGTAAATATTTTGTCAGTGGGTTTAATAAAGTAAATATTTTGTCAGTTGTTTCAAAAAAGTAAATAATTTTTCAGTTGGTTAAATAAAGTAAATAATTTGTCAGTTGGTTCAATAAAGTAAATAATTTGTCAGTTGGTTCAATAAAGTAAATATTTTGTCAGTTGTTTCAAAAAAGTAAATAATTTTTCAGTGGGTTCAATAAAGTAAATAATTTGTCAGTCGGTTCAATAAAGTAAATAATTTGTCAGTTGGTTCAATAAAGTAAATAGTTTGTCAGTGGCTTCAAAAAAGTCAAGAGTTTGTCAGTGGGTTTAATAAAGTAAATAGTTTTTCAGTTGGTTCAATAAAGTAAATAATTTGTCAGTTGGTTCAATAAAGTAAATATTTTGTCAGTTG